TTTTAGGACATTTTTTTGTCAGTATTTATTTTTTTTAATTTTTATTTGAGGTAAGTATTTCTTAAATAAAAAAAATAAAATCTTGTGCAAAATTGGCCATGAATTAAACTGACTGAATATACCGTCATTTTGTTTTATTAATTATTTAGTTATTCCTGTTTTGTCTATCTATCGTAGTATTTTTTATTGCACTATCAATGTTGCCATAAACGTATTTCCAAATTTGATGAATGTTGTGCTACACATACGTATAACAAACAAGCCATTATATACAGTAAACATATTTGTCAGCAGTTCATCCTACAATCGCGAAAAATGTATCGTTACTTAATTTATTCATAACAAATTAAATGCTTACAAATAAATGATTATAGTTAGTGTGCGTTTTGTTTAAACCCAGACGTGTAATAAATTCTGTGAAAATAATATTATTCATCTTCGCTATATGCGGATTTAGGTTTTGCTTTTCGTATAAACAACACTATCCTCCATTATTTATTTTATAAGGGTATTTATTTATTCCGTTTTGGCGCATAAACGGTGAGTCATGGATGCGCTATCAGGCATGTTGAATATCTATCTAGTCCATTTAAAGGAAATCCTATATACCTATAGCCCGTATATCGGCTTTATCAGAAGGTGAAAGAACTTTTATCAAAGCTTTTAAAAAAACTATTGCATTGGTTCGTTTTTGGCTTTTTAGAACACTTTTTGCTACTGAGGCGTGACAGTACTCGATAACTTTGTTTTACATTCATATATTTCATCGTCAACATTTGCATATTCTAAATGGTAATTTTTTTCCTGTTGGTTTTCTAATTTCGTAGCTTCATCTTCGATTAAAAAAGAAGAAAAAAGACTATAAGTCTCTCTTGATAATTTGTTCTATCTTCTTTCATTTACAAATCCGGCGTTTTTCAGTAAAATGGAGGTCTTCTTAGTGATTCATCTTCGTCCGTTATTCTATCAGCGTGATCTGCTTATTGTCATTTGAGAGATTGAAATTTGTTACCAGTTACCTTTTTCATCCACTCTATTTTCTTATGGCAATAAAAAAACGATATCGTTCTTTGTATGGCCAATTTATGAGCATTTTCAACAAATTGGTCATATTTTGGTTTCTGGTTTTGACTTATCAAACTGTTTTCATTTCGTATAAAAGGCAAGACCAGTATTGTTATTATTATTCAGATTCCAGGCAACACCCTGTCTCTGTAATTGTTTACTCGAATAAAGTTATGGCACTTTATTTAATGCAGGTACGAAATGACTCAGAAGGGAATCCAACCTTCTTTCTGCAGTAGTACGTATTTATAAAGTTGACCATTATTCATTACAAGAATACTTAATCAGCATTTCTGAGAATTTATTGGGTTATAAAATGTAATATTATCTCACCATTTTCTACCAAAGGTCTTCTTATGGTCTCCAAAAATGATTCATTGATTCTCCTCGATGACACGCATAAGTATAATAAGTCTATTTACCTAAAAATAAAAAAAAAATTCAAAGAACTCGGGAGTAAATTCCACAAATAATGTACTGAAAATGTGATAAATCAATCCAATAATGTTTATCTGTAATTTTCTGGATGATATGATTCATGATAATTTTTCAAATGTTACAAATTAGTCAGATATCACATAGATTATTATAGATAAACATTTAAATTAGCGATGTTGTCGGTATTTGAACAATTTAACGTATTTGTAAAAGGAGATGTAGGTACTACAAATTCGTCTATGGTAATGAATATATTATACTGAGATATACAGGAAGATTGGGAGACACTTTTTCTATTATCTCTAGATATGAATGAATTAAAGTTCTAGTAGCGGAAGGTTGGCGAGGAATTAATGAGATTAGATAGAAGCGGCAATGTTGTAAGGTATAGTGAGAATCGCGGTGTCCTTCAGCTGTGGAATAATATGACTCCGAACATAAACACAGAATACAGCGGACAGTGAATGAATCACTTTCCCCCACCACCCCGCTTAGTGACCCTGTTAATTCCAGCGTGCGTTTTTGTATTATTATTTATGCCGTTGGGTAGTACAAGTTGAGGGAGCTCGGTAGTACGCGGATTTTCACTGTTTTTGTCAGTTTTTTGAGTGAACCGAGTGCATTTAGCGAACTTATAAGTGAAATAGAATCGGATTACCCGTCAACATGAGGATAAAAAGGCCCAACTCTTATCCAGTGCTCAGGTTTCTACCCATACCACCCAGTGAGTTTACATTTTTGTTTATTTTCTTAAAAGTGTTTATGCAGTTTAATGAGTTTTTTGTTTGTGCATACATCACGTACAGAAACAAGAACCAGCTAACATTAGCTGTTTTTTTTAGTTCATTAAACTTAGTTCTTCCTATCCAACAGCATAAGCATTTTGCATTATTTACAGTGTCAGCATGTTGAAATTGAATTGTTTTTTTTTGTTATAAATAGTTCTTTTTATTATTTTTTTTCGCGCGACACATCTTTTTTTATTAACTGAACTTCAAATCTTGTAAAAAAAATTGCCATTTTAATAGACGACATTTACGTTAAAAATCATCTTCCAGCTCTTTAAATTTTATGTATTTTTGATTTCTGAGCGTAGTATTTTTTAACTAAAACTTGTTATGTCAAAAATGCCATGACGTACGCCTGAAGGAATCTTCAAGCTATTTTTTATGTATGCATGATATATTTTAGCATAATGAATAACATTTAATTTACATAAAACTGCGGTGACGTCATAAAAATAGGTAACTCCTGATGACTTAATCATATAATAGGAATATTTCTGAGCAAAATAGAAAATACCTACAGAAAGTAACAAAAAAAAACCATTTTCCTTAAATCAACTTGCGTCTATTAGCGACTGCTTAAAGTAATTGGTTACAGAGATGAATCATCATATAGGGCTGTATTTACCCTTGGATCTGATGATGAAAGGCTTTATTAAAAATCAATTAGGTCTGATGAATCATTGGTTTGTTTGTCAACAACATCGACATCTTGCAATATTTACTGTGTGGCGTTATCAAATTACCAAAATATTATTTAATATCTAAACTACATATATTTGATTTTAATCATAAATTTTCCTATTAGTTAATGTTACATTAATGTGCCTTATTTAGATACTATAAATTTTAATACGTATGCCATGGTCTATATATTTTGTAAACTTTGAATGACGTTTTTTAATGTAATAAAGTAGCTCATTTTTTCGCATAATGAAAACATTGACTCATTCATTGTTTTTGTTTTAATGACACATGTGCTCGTCTCCTTTTACATCTTCAATTGGCTTAATTTGTTTTGGTAAATACATCATGTAATTATCCATTTAAAAAAATGCGTTCATTTTTATTGACGAATTGTTTAATATTTTAGATGCTTACTGGTTTACCAAAAATACTTTTGAATTTCTGATATAAAATGTTTTAATATATAAATAAATTGTTACCTATAAGAAATTATTGGAGTACATTCTTGGAATTCCATTTATTTATAAAATTAATATTCTATATTTATTTTTTATGGAATTTTTTTATATTAAAACCGACTATTCGTTTCCAAGCAAATTGGAGGATATTTAAAATTTAAATACCTACCGTAGGTTTTAAAAATTTAAATTTGAAGGAATTGTATTCAAATCCGTATATCCAGTACGAATTTCGTATTTGTAATGACAGTTGTCTCTTTGACTCTAAATTTCGCACAAAAAATAACGAATTACAACAATATACATATGTATGCTAATGACACGAAATGATTCAACGGCCGACACAAAAAATTTACTCACGTTTGTACCACTTAATGAGCCCCAGTACTGTTTTAATTATACTCAACAAGTAGAGGAGCAGATTTTTTGGCAGTTGGCCGTATCACAATAAAAACATTTCACGGGGCCCGATGACGCTATCAGATGACGTAATACGACAGTTTTGTTTAACTGTCAAAAATTATCATGAACCCTCATTGAGTGACTCACGTTTATACCCATTCAGATCTACCCCTATTTTCGGTATGATTCACTGATGTACACACCACGGTTTGGATGGGTCCATTCAAAACCACCTCTTATTTTTATGGGTAAAATTTTAATAATGCAGGGTGGCAATAAAGTGAATCATGAACCGAGAGCATCGGTCTCGTTCAAGTTTATGTCAAGAGACAATTTTATTTTATTAGTTTTCTTGTGTCCTCTTTGCAAATTTAAAACTGATATAAAACTCAATGGTTGTAGAAAATTTTCTGCAGCCTTTTTTATAATATGTTTAGTTTTGAAGGGAGAAAAACATAATATATTATTTTAAATATTACCTATTGTCACTAGTAATTAATATGATCAAGAAAAAAGGAGGTATTTGATATTAAAAATTGAAATTATGAGAATATATGGTTTCGTCACTCCTTGTAATTTCTCTTGTATTGTTCGTGACAAAACCGTTTAATCGTATTACACAGTAATTCCTCTTGTTAAAGAAATATTAAGACACAATTTACTTTACAATCGACTAATTTCGTGTTGACTCACCCCGTAGACATCGTACCTCACCTAGAATGATTGTCTTTAAACAGTGACTCAACTCAGCCCATATAATTGCTAATTAAGATATGATAATTGACATGATTATTGTCGAAAATTTTCAGCTCTACCTTTGTTTTAAGGAAAATGAAATTTCGAAAATATGTTAGTTCATTCCAATCAGTTATTCATATCTAAAGCGCAGTAATTTATACAAAATACCAATAATGACATCTATTTACTACATAATATATTTTTCAAGTGTATTAGGAATCTAAAACCTGTATGACTAAAGCTTAAATAGTTTTAAGATAAGTACAAATTACACTAAACAGAACGATACTTTTTTCTGATAAATAATTCATTAGGCGTATACTTTTTATGCCTATTGGCGACAGTTATGCAAAACAAGGAGACGCGTTTTTAAAAGTCAGATTTTTCGACATGTTTTGTTTGTAACGTTTTTTTTTCTTTGTTCTAGGAGGTCACAGGGAATTTCACAGAAAACACAAAGAGTTGTGCGAAGACACTTTGACAGCTGGACTATCATCTAGGGGTCTGTCACCCTCAGCGTCATGCCCTTCGTTGGCACCAGACGTCGATTCATACCCCGCATCAAAAGTTTTACCTTTTCTCTACCTTGGAAACAGCAAGGTAAATGACTAAAACAATTTTCAAATAAGTTCGAAAAATTTAACTCTCTGTCCGGTCTTTTTCTGCAGGACGCTGCTGACCTTTCTTGTCTGCAAGGACTTGGAACCACCTGCGTGTTGAACGTGACGTCACAATTGCCCGGGTACCATGAAGAATGCGGCATTACATACAAGCAGATACCAGCTACGGACTCGGGCCATCAGAACCTTAAGCAGTATTTTGAAGAAGCATTCGAATTTATCGGTGAGTTGAAATGAGTACCATTTTCACCCATTTTTCTCTTCAGTGTACAATGTAGGTACAGCTAAAAGTAGGGTAAAAGTATGTATATTTCTAATACACACACAGGGCACATACTTTTATTAGCAGCCTATATTCAGAAAGAAATGTAAAACTATTTTATTCAAATCCTCGCGATATATTTCAAATATAATCCACGTGACGTCGCAACAAGGCTTTATGTGTATCTTGACAATGAAAAAAATATACATTACATATATAAAGTCCCAGTATTTTTTAAATTTCTTTAAATGACATTATTTATAAAAAGAACTGAAGACCCAACAACATTTTTATTGGAATAAGATATTCAGTCATTTATAACATCGAGTACAATAATTATGGATGTTTATAGTGAGTTATCGCTGCTAAGCTATATATTTTCTTCATTATTTTAATGAAATCATTGTTTTATTCTTTACAGTTGAACTTTAACTTTCGTTAATGAACGAAATCGTCAAACTGATTGACGTACTTTCGTTTTCGTAACTGTTTCATTTAATACAGTTTTAAATCGTTTGTTTTTCTGAGTCGGAGCTTAATATTCAAGTTTTTAGCGCCATTGCATCGGTTAATTTTTATTTATTTAATCAAATTTATGAAGGAAAACGCATAATAACGATACACGAAAGTTTGTGATTACTAATATTTTAAATACCCACAATAAATATAAATTAGGTTTGTGAAGATTAACTGAAGATAAATTGTTTTTATCGGGACGCTATTCTTATTTATTCCTTTTTGATATGCTTTTTTTGGAATTTGGTAATAGATATTTATAGCAAAAAAACAATTAGTTTAAAAAATATTTGATACGTGATTTTTCTGGAAATTTTAAATATAAATTACGGACATCGTAAAAAATCCGATGGTTTACTAAACGTTCGTTCATTATGGAAGTAACATTTCGTATAATTTATAACCAGGAAGCAAATCTACATAGCTTCCTGTTTATATCGTTCGTTTCTATTGGAGGAAATTAAAACCACAATATGATAAACTCTCTGGTTTGTTGTTATATCTCGGCGTACTGTAAAATCCTATATCATTCATTAAAAATTCTCATTCATTCATGTTAATGAAATGTTTTATTTTATTAGAGCCAAAGCCCACGTAATTCCCTAACATCTAACGTTTTTATTTCAAATCTCTTTAATTTTACATTAATTCGCAAGCATAAAATTTTACTTTTTTCAAGTTTACTTTTGCTTGTTTATATAATGTTCGTCACAATAAATATTTCTTGGGCTTCAATTGATAAATCATTTTAAACATTAATTCTAAAAATAACAATTTATCCATTTCTTCTGTTACTTCTTCAGCAATGACACAACAAAAGAATGAATTTCATTATCGAAGAGAAAGCTCTATTACAATCGGTTAGGTCTTCTACCGAGAGACATTGCTTTGCGAGTTGTTTTCTCATTTAATTAGACAAAGATTTGGGTTTTCCTGCATCAGAAATAATGATGATCTAAATATGTGTTGTGTATTTAACAGCTGGGCATCTCTTATTTACATATAGTGTAACGCGTAAATTCTGCATCGATTTCTGATTTAAAAGGCTTGACAAATTTTGTATTGTTATTCCTTAATTATTAATATAATATAGCCATAATATGTAGTTATATGCAAAGAGGTTAACTCTTAACGACTGTACAGTGGTCTGTCAAACACCTAGAGCTAAAAATTCCTCTATATTTCGTAAACGCCTGCAATTGTAGTAATGAGGATGCCTTTAAGCCAATAGGCGTTCGATAAATTAATAAAGCGATAAACTCATTAGTGTATGGATTGTTGGTTTATTGAATATAAAAATTCAAGAGGTGTCTACTGAACTCCTGAGTAGCAAATTTGTTATTTATTTGTTGGTTTTATTAAAGACATATATTAAAATTGAGTGAATTACCATAAATGCGTATTAAAAAAATTGTATTGATGGCCAATTTTTGGCCAATTGATGGCCAAGATTTTCTTAAACATCTAACCAAAGCTATTACAAATCCAATAATCAAAAAAGGTTGCTTAACAAAAATATACCAAGAAAACTTAGGGCGAATATTATAAGACACTATGGTATGCGAAACAACATCTGAAGAGGGGTGACTATAAATAAGAAGTCTTTATTCTAGGTGGACTGTTAAAATAAAAAGAAACACACAGTATGTAAAAAAACCATTTGTCCCCCTACAGTGCTCAAGAAAGATATGTTTAAACTGCAGCCAGTATACAAAAATATGTGAAAATATTATTGTTTTATGTTAACCACGTAATTTTTAAATAACGTTAGATTGCCGATTAATAAATGTTTCTATTACGTGTATATATTTTTAACTAACTCATGTAAACTTATAAAAGTATAGAGAGATACAAAAAGATTTTATTTTCTATTAAATTATGTGCTATTAAATAGAAGTGCCTACTAGACCACTCTGTAGCGATTAAAGGAGAATTATTCAGTTTAGCGGTTGAGGATTAAAAAAAACTATTTTAAATTGTGATCTTTAAAAATCAAAACAAAGAAGTGAGACGAAAAGAAAATGTGCAAGAGGAAGACCCTTGAAACGTCCCATATGTCTAAATATCGGTCGTTGTATTCTTATGAATGGACACAGACGTTGCCGGTGTGAATCGGCCTTGCGACTTGAGTCAGAGCCGGCGCGCAGTTACTCATCGTCGTCATTGTGTACAGGGCCTTTGCACTTCAATAGACATTATACGCGATGACTCACGCCGACATACTGTTTCACTTTACGTACGGGGTGTCACGCTTGTTTGGGACCGCCGATTATTTTTATTTAGGGGCTGGTAATGGGGTGTTGATTTCCTTCCTTCCGCAGATTAACCTCAATGACTTTTCACTGGTCAGACGGCGTAGCTCCTCTAATCAAATAACGGTTTCTAAACGTTCTATTTTTTCATATTTTTTTACACCATATTTCTAGATTATAGTTGGGGGTTAATCTTTGGTTTTACTACAACAAAATAAAACACTAATGTTAGCATTATTTTGTGCTAACGACAACCGTTTGGAAACAATTATCATTGGCCATCAATACAAATTTTCTAATAGATATTTATGACAAATCAGTACATACTTAACTTAAAAATTTAATATATATCGATAATAAAATAAACGAATAAATAACAAACACCATACCATATTCAAAAATTAATAAAAAAATACTTACAGAATTGCTGCACAATAGTCCTGTAGCCACCTCTCAAATTTCTTTATTCAATAAATCTACTCCGTACACTAATGAATTTATTAAACTTATCAAACCCCTAATAACTTGAAGGTTACAACCTATGCAACCTAATTAAAAACTCGGTTAAAAGTGTTTTGGTGTATTGTGCTGAATTAGTGTTTTATTATGCTATCACATTTATATTATAATACTATGTTACTTTTTTATAATTTACCTGTATATTATTTTGATTAAATATGACTTTTTGATTATACCGTACGACATACTGTAAACGTTCTAAATCAATGTTCCTATATGTTACACTTAATAGAATGAAGTAATGAATATCTAATCCGTTGAAATGAATAAGTCCCTAACATGGGGCTGTTATCAAAACCCATAGGGTAAGATTTTTCTTGTTTACAAAGTGGCCCGTTTTCATCCCCTCTGCGGTAAATTGTCAGGGTTTAGTTACATTGAACGGTCCATTTATTTTGATTTTATACAGAGTCTGCTTGTTAAAAAAACATAATATCGTCATAATATGGCAACATAGATTGTAGATTAAATTTACAAGAAAGACAACCTAGAAAAGATCCAGCGGTTCTCAAAATTTAAGCGAAAAATCATTTTTTTTTTAATTTTCGTAAGTAAAATATCTCGGTTATTTTGGACTTATCTGAAAAACGTTAAAGAGAAAATATGTTTCTTTTACTGAGATCTACCAGCCCTGAAAATATTTGAGACTCACCCTCTTATTAGAAATGTCGAACAGTGCTCTGATTATTTGAATTTAAAGATGTTAGAAAAAGTTTTTTAGTTTCACATTTTTTATCTACCAGTCCATTTTGTCATTCTACAAAAATTCCTAGATTTTTTCTATATTTCGAATATTTTGATCAGTCCTTGTATATTTAGGTTTTACACAGTGATGCAAAATTATTTGATATTACTTAATCTACACCTATTTTTGCAAATATTTTGACTAAAACTATTTATTTGGGTTGGTTTAGAGCCCGATGTGAATATGGTATAAAAATGGATTAATCCATAATATATAATGGGACTGATCAAAATATTAGAAAAATTGGTGGTACCGTAGAGTAATACAATTCGAATGTAGATAAGAAATGTAAAACTAGAAAAAATACTAAACAAAATTTGATAACTTGGTTTTAGAAATGTCAAATTTGGTTTTTAAACATAGTAAAGAAAATTTTTTCTGCACACTGTACATCTATGGGTAGAATATAAAAATTGATGGTTTCAGATTGGTTTTTAATAAATAATATTATCACACAGCCACAAATCCTACCACAGATTGATAACAGCTCAAGAATGTTTGCTAGTGGTTTTAGATTTAGATATAGTCTTAGAAAGAAACTTTTTGGTTTTAAACGTGGTATAACCACGGAAATTCCTTCTTTTTAATGATTTCAACAGAAATATGCTGATGTAAATTAAAACTCCTAAATAGACGCATATGTACAGAAAAAAAAACATTCTATTTTGTTTTGTTTATTTAGATTATTCACCAGATTCTGTAGCAGGATCGGGATTTGCATCTTTCTACAATGTGTCGTTTTCCAGAAAAAAAAAGATTAATTTATTTTCCAGTAATTCTGTTTGCGTTGAAAACATTACGAGGAACCTAATAAACAAAGTGTAGGTCCTGTTTATGTTCTTGATATGTTTCGAAATTTTTGGAGTCCCCCAACTAGTAATTTGTTAATTGGAATAACATTTTTTTGTTTATATCATTTTTACTGAAAGTGATTTACGAGGAAAGAATTGGGTTATATTTGCTCAAGTGCATTACTCACTAGGGGTGGTGGGTGTTATCTCTAATATGGCGCCTGTGTGGATCTTAACTAAATAAGGGCCAATGCCAGTAATTCTGTTTTATCAGGTTTGACTCATCGTTTAATGTGTTCCAATCCACTAATGTATTTGTACGTTTGTGACTTATCTATAAAAACTATATACATTGTCCCTTGTGACAATATTACTGCGCTTCACCTGACTTATCTAACTTGATTATTGAAAATATTACTCATTTATTTGCTTTTTGTATGTAATGATGAAAAATCGAAGAAAAAAAAACAGGAATATTTTTTTAAACAAATAAATAAATATTAGATTTCTTACTGCCTTAACCCTATTTAGTTTAAAGTATAATACTAAATAACCAAAACTCTATTACGAAAAATTTGGAATCACCTACTATTGGGGTCAAAATAAGCATTTTTATAGACAATTTTACGCCAAAAACAGATTTGTAAAGAAATGATTTATAATTGACTAAAAGCTGCATCGATTAAAAAAAGTACACTCACTATAGTTTTTTCATTGAACCGCTATTACTAGGCTCGTCATTACGCTGGAAATTATTTAAAACAAATTAACTGGCACAAAAAAACACAGCGTAAAGGTTGTTGCAATACGTAAACAAATGCTGAATGACTCACTAGATCCCAATTATGTAACCGAGAATGTTGCAAAACTATTGTTTTGTGAGGCACGCTATTTTTTATATACGATAAACTATAATAAACGTTGGTCAGATTGCAATGAACCTGTTTCAGACATTCCAGCATAAAAGCCCTCTGGGAATATCAGTCACTATAAATGACCTTTATGCGTAAATTGTTTCTACAGATTTATTATTTTAATATTGAAACAGAGACTAGGAGCTAAATTAATGTCTTTTCAACTTTTCAAACAGAAATCAACGCAGAATCCATTATTCTCGTAAATGGACTCTTAATTTTTTCATTCGCAGACCACACCTTCTTTGCATTCCACCTGCCCGTTTTTTACAAATCACTTTTATTCGTTTAAGAAATTTATGAAAGTATGTAAGCACTACCTTGTTCAGCGACCTTGCCTGGTTCGACGTTTGTTTTTTTGCCATTCGTTATTTTACTATACCTAGCGAGTTCGTATTTTTGGTTTATACACATCGATTTGAAAGAATTTTAAAGGAAGCTCTTTGTATACAGGGTGGTAACTACTTAGATTGGTATAACAAAATTTATTTCAAGATAGGTACTTAATGTATTGGAAGTAGTAAAATACTTGAAAAGTTAAATAAAAATAGCTTTCAAATTTCTCTATATTTGCGTGAACCGTTTCTCAATAATTTTGTTTTAATCCATGCATCCCCTGCCAAAAAATCTTAAAGTATACAGGGCGTTACATTAGATAAAGGTATAATTTTTTCTTTACATTTTGATTTCATTTTCTGTCGGTTCAGGTAAAATTTACAACCCCAAATATAAATCGAATATTTCTTACTACCTCCAGTAGGTAGGCCTGAAAGTATCCCACTAAATGTCTCTGAAACCCCTGTACGTTTGGGATCCTTTTGTAATATACCGGGTGTGTCTGGTTTATTCGAAATTGTAACATGCGGTTCATAACGATATTTTGGCTCTAAATGCCAAGTATGTGGTACCAAATTATTCTTAAAAAATGCTTTTTCTAAATATGCTAATGAGTCACCCTTGATCTATTTGAAAAAATTTAGATATAATTAAAAATACGATTTGGACATCTTTTAAAAGTCCAGGACAAGACACGAAAAACATTATTTGACTTAGAGGTGGAAACTCTAGTTCCTTGGGAGGAACTAGTTCCTTAGTTCTAGTTCCTCCAGAGGAATAGTTGCTTGAACTAGGTCTTCACTTCACAGTAGTTCCCGACTAACACTGACATCCCCCTTGCTTGCTCATGCGTTACGTTGTCAGTCAGAACTATTCACAGTATGATCTGTATAATTTTTATAATGTACGGAGATATAACGAGACGTGTAATTGTGTATGTTAAAAACATATAGGTAAGTTTTATTGCAGATAAAAAAAAATAAAAAGAAACTCAAATCAGAGTTTAAAAAACTATAAATTGGAGCAAATATTCCAAAAATTTCCCGAAAAATTGCATTTTTCCTTAATTCAAGCTTTTCATTTTTATTTAAAAATTGAGAATATCTACTTCGTTTTATAAGAAATTTCTTAATTTTAGGAACCTAAAGATTCCCATAAAATATTTAAATAACAAACTAAAAATCAAAAACAGTATCCACGACAATTTTCTGTGGTAATTACGCCCGCTGCCGACTGAATAGATTCCAGTGAACTAGTCGTTTAATTAGTTCCTCTATGTCCGGATCCGATAACATACGGCTGGCACTCCCCACGCATGCCTACATGCCTAGCATCAATCGCGCTGGCTGATCCATACGTAAATTAGTCTTTTATTTAGTTCCTCTAGTTCCTTTAGGTCCGGATCCGATAACATACAACTGGCACTCCCCACTCCTGCCTAGCATCGATCGCGCTGACCCGATCCGTACGTACGTAAACCAGTCTTTTATAGTTCCTCTAGGTCCGGATCCGATAACCGATAACGTACGGCTGGCACTCCCCACTCCTGCCTACCATCGGGCTACGCGCGCTGGCCGATCCGTCGCCGTCGCATATTATTATATATCGGTCACAGTCTCGATCTTGGAATAGGTCCTGAGGAACTAGTTCTTTGAGAAACCAGGAACTAGTTCCTTTCATTCCGGGGTCGGAATAGTTCATTGGAACTAGTTCGTTCACGAACTACACACCTCTAATTTGACTACAACGAATCAAACCTATTTTTCCAAGGTTCCTTGATTAAAAATTAGTGTTTTTAACACAGCCATGACACTCTAGATTGGAATTTAAAATACAATTTTTTTTAAGTGAAAATGTGTCACTTTCTAGACGCACCCGGTATATGGAGAATTTTATACAAAGTTGTCTCCGTCTTGTACTGTTTAATTAAATAAAAAGAAGAAAAACAAGTGTTTCATTGGTTCAAGTGGTTCATTTAAAAAAAAATCAAACTACCCTTTATTATATTTCTTATAGTATTATAATAAAATGTAGTATCAAAATACACTTGTTTATTTTCGACCATACAGTATTTTTTGCTATATGGGAAAGCAATGTATAACTTCATCTAAAATTTGGGGTATATTTAAAGATTAACAAATATCTTGTCGGAAGAAAGAGATCAAGGAAAGAGAGTTTTCGATTGGTCTTTGAATTTGTATAGTGCGGCCCTGGCCGATGTTAAAATAAACTTGTGAGAAAACAGATTTAGTTTAGCCATGAGTCATACTTCCCCCCTAGCTTGCCTGTTGCTCATCTGGGTCGGATATTTTACATCGCCAACCCCAATTAGAATGGTATTTTTAGAATCCAATCTCGACCCGTGCAATGCCTACTATGTCTGCCGCATAATATGTATTTTTTTAATCTATTTTAATTTTTACGATTCTTTAAAACGTCGCGTTGCGTCGCCATGCCTGCGCCGCGCTCTCGATTGATGCCCCCCAACGTAATAAAGTATTAAAAAAATATTTTTTATTGCGTTACGTCCGTCGTGTATAGGCAACCTAAAACACGCAGTTTCATTGCGTAATCACGGTAAATATTTATAGAGGACCAACTGCGCCTGTTAAATTGGACAGGCAATAAAAATAAGTAAATTGTTTAACTACAATCTCGGCTCGGCGCTAATAGCAACAACAGTCTAATCGTTAGGCGATTTCTTTTATTTATGTATGCAGTCTAATTTACATACCAAGTGACTATTATTGATTTATTCTAATAAGTTATGCAGGTTTCTTTGTTTAATGTCCATTTAAATAAATTCCTTTCGAGTACGCGCACATACGAAATGAAGACAAACGACTTTTATGTCATTAATCCTAGTTCCGTTTTTTTAACATATTAACAATTTGTTAATAAATTTAAGGGCTTAGTACGTAGAATTGACTTTATCATTTCATTCTTAGTAAAATCCAGGAGTTGATTCACATAACAAGGTCATATTCCAATAGAAATAGTAGTTAGGCTGTTTATATAAATCCTTTTGCAGCACACCTATATTCTTGGTATTATTTAATAGTTAACAGTTGATTCACATGACAAGGACTATAACTGATTTCATTATTTTAACTTTACACTAATAAATGTAAGGCCATAGATAATCTGTAAGAAAATAAAATATTTGAGCTCTATATTTTTTGGTAGTAACTCAAAATTGATTGACATGACAAAAAAAAATAAATATTAGTTATAATGTTAATTTAAATAAATTATTAAAGCACAAGAATTAAACAAGAATAGTCTTTAAAACATATTTGGAGTTTCAGAGTTGATTCACATGACCAGGTTCATACACATATTCCAATAAAAGTACTGGCAATAACTAAATTTTTTCTTCATCAAGTCAATTTAAATAAATTCTTGTGATATAAACTTAAAATATATGTAGTGTATGTTTAAGTATTTTGATATTATCTATGAGTTGATTTACATGACAAGGTATAAATTTGAGCTGACCATAACTAATTTATTTTTTTTTTATTACAGAGGAAGCTAGAAAAAATGGTTTGAGAGTACTGATCCACTGTCAAGCTGGAGTATCCAGGAGTGCCACGATTGCCATAGCTTATATAATGAAGTATAAACACATGTCGATGGTGGAGGCCTACAAGAAGGTGAAGGAAGCAAGACCGATTATATCGCCGAATCTTAACTTCATGGGACAGCTTCTGGAGTTAGAGCAGAACTTGCGCAGTGATAATAGTAGTAATAACAATCACCAGTGTCTTTGGAGTCAACAGACGACGGATGAAGTGAGCCAGGGTTGTAGTGTTTGAGTCTAAAATCACAAAAAAATGCGAAACATAAGAAACAGACCTAATCGTTTATTGAAGAACTTTATCGCCATATGTTTTATTCTAGTCGATGTATTTTGGACAAGAAGGCTGTGTACCATTAGAGATATTTCATGTTTATATAATTACTTATGTTAAGCAGCTGTAGCTGGGCTAGTAGTAGAGTCCTGGTTCCTATGATAAGTCCTTTACTACTTAGAAGAACAGCTATCAATGCTTGTAGCATGCACGACTGTTTTCTTAGTATTTTAGAAGGTTCCAGATGGACTACTAGAGATGTTATAAGCTGCCAATGGTGAAAACAAGCAGCAAGTGACAGTAAACTATTTCTCTTTTGGCATATTATTGTACAATATTTGTTACTGTATTTTATAACTGTACTATTTAAGGTTTAAGCGTAAAATTCAATTATTTATTTGTCTTATCTATTTATTAGGGCGTTTCCAACTTTAGGTATAGCTTGAAAATAAAAGCTGATTTTATAAATGCAGCTAATCTATATACAGTCACTGCTTCTTCTGGAACAATCTCGACTCAACGTACTTAATCTCCTTATATTCCGATTTTTGTAGTGATAACTTATATACTTATTAGTTTCATAATTCTAAAAAAACTGTATATTCGGTGTTATTTACGCTAAATATCAATTTTCTAAGCTACTGAAAAACTTAAAGAAAAAGTCTAAATACCAGTAACATTACTAATTAATTTTTTGATATGTCTTACCACCAAAACCACGCAATTAACAATAATTTCTCATATATTTTGACAAAAAAATATATTTTTTTTTTCTTTAAAATTTCGGTAGCTTTTTAATTCTATTTTATTGTTTGTATAAAACCAAGAGAAGCAAAGACTAAAGAATGTGTATGTGGAAACGTAAATGAATATAAAAATGCCATATTTAAGTTTTAATTTTGTTTGTTCAAACGTATAGTCAAATGGTAGATTTTTTCTTAGTTCTATATGGAAAAAGCACTTTTATTCAGGTTTTGATAATTTTCAATGTGATTTTTAGGGATTTTTGTTTTTAGTTTAAAATTAGTAAAGGTACTAAAGGAGGTACATGATTATGTGTAGCAAGTTGATTCATTAACTGCCATACTAATTCTTGTTGAGAAAAAAAAACTATAGGGAACTTGCACTGTTAATATCACACGATATCGCATAAATATGTGCCTTTACACAAATATTGTAAAGTTGTATAAAATTCCGACTGTAATAAAATTATTTGTTTCAACACAAGACTTATATATCATAATAAAAATCATAGATGTTATTTTGCTGTGTATTTTTTCCTTGTCTTTCCCATATAATGATGGTGAGACTATTTAAACGTGATATAGGTATTGCACAATAATAATTTCAAAATTTTCCTTGAATCTTAAAAGAACCGTCACCATTTTGTCAAAAGGAGGTTTTATTAACGCATTTGACATTTTACCAAAAGATGGCGGCTATAGCATTATAGGCTATTATAGGTTTAAATTCTCAAAGATTTTTTAATGTTAAAACTGTTATAGAGGTGTCACGATCACGATATACTATTTGATAAATTAGTGTGAAATTATATAGCATCTCCAAAAAATAATAGGAAAAATACTTTATTTCTTGATTTAAAATCTATAATTCTTCAAAATGTTCATTTTATTCGGAAATGATCAGTGTATGATTGGTTGCATGCGGTTGGTTTGTGGGTAAATAATTATTATGCAGTGTGAGTATTAAATAAGTGCAAATATTTTCAGGGCTGGTAGATCTCGATAAAAAGAAACATATTTTCTCTTTACCGTTCTTCAAATAAGTTCAAAATAACCCAGTTATTTTACTTTGAAAATTAAAAAAAAATGATATTTTGCTTAAATTTTGAGAACCACTGGATCATTTCTGAGTTTTCTTTCTTGTAAATTTAAACTACTGCTTTGTTGCCATATTATCAAGAAATTATGTTTTTTAACTAAAAACTAAAAAAAATTCCAAAAATTCCAAATTTTCAAAAAAAAATTCGCGAGAAAAACTTCATAATCGTGTTTTTGGGGACGAAATATACTACCCCTTGAAATATTGGCACTTATTTAAGACTCACCCTGTATTGTTTAAACATATTATGTACTTATATTGTTTATGTTGATAGGCAATTTATTGTTTATGTATGAAGGGTCCAGGGGAAAAGCTTGATAAGCCCCAGTTTCTTAATTATAGAATTTTACAACATTATAGTAGGTCTAACTGGTCCCTACAAAATGTATAAACTCTGCAGGGCAATAAGTTGTTAAATCCTATGATATAGGCCTAGTAAAAATCTAAAATAAACGGAAGGAACCTGATAACCAGCCGTCCAGTGCTATCCTGTAAAATTAGTAAAATGGTGCTTATCATGTTTTTCCCTTGGTTAATATTAGTATGTTAGTATTACAACGTTTTATTGCATAATGTACAATATTGTGAAAATATTGAAATAATGATGATACTACCCGTTTGTAGAGCTTTTAAGTAATGATAATAATCAATAATCAAATACTAATATTTTAACCAATAACAAATTCTAAAGTGAGTGCTAATATAATAAAATTTATATATTGCTAAATTTGGGCAATGAAATTTATATTTTATATATTTTTTGGAAAGTTGATATTTGCATAAATTGTGAATACCATTGCGAATATTATTTATTAAATCAGTAGTAGATACATTATATAAAAGTGCCTGAATTATCCAGATAATTTTCATAGATGGTAGAATGATAATATATAAGAAAAAGCGATGAAAAAATCATAGAAAAGAAAAAATATAAATAAGAAATAACAATCGGAATATTTTTAGAATGTAGACGATTTATTCGTTTAAAGTTTAAGCCCGCTTACAGTCTATTTCAAAGACAAATAATACAGAGCTGAACGAGTTTCTTCAAACTTTGCACCTTTTAATTTTGAACTTCCAACAGAGCGTGGCAAAATGTTTTCTTTTTAATCTTTACTTTGAATACTAAGTCGAAAGTATTGGGCTAAATTAATCGATATACACCTTCATTTATTTTTATTAATTACAGTTAAGTGTTATTATTAGTCTTTCGTACTAATTATAGACAATGTATAGCATAGCTTCTTTTATATTCTAGTTTATAAAAATAAATTCGAGGATATTTACCTATGGTATTTTTTTACTTTCAAAAGTAAATTAAGTATAATGTAATACACGGGGAATGTTTTTATTTGACGTGAAATATTCTGCAGCCAACTGTAAAATGGCGTAGTATGATAGCCGGAGCTGAAATGCCCGGTGTAAAATTTCCTGAAAATGATAATTAATTAGGAAACACAGTGTTTAAAGCGAGTAAAAATGAAGACATTTGTGAAAATAAAAAGGGGCTCGTAGAACTGAAAAATGCATTATAATCATCTTTTAATCATCACACTTAACTGCATCTAGTTAAAATTTAATTGTCTGTGTGATGTCCTTACATTATAACTTATAACAAGAGTCTGAATAACAGTTTTTACAACAAATTAAGTATTGAAAATCTTCAGTGATTTCACAAAACCAAACAAGTAACAAGTGATTACCCTCTTTCTATGTCTGCACCCTCTCTCATATCCCTGCGCCAACTTATGCAGGTTCTTAATTGGATGGGAGATGGGAGCATATTTCCTCCGTTTCTAGCCTAGTTTTCCGAAATAGAAAATGTCGCTTGCGATCCAGAGACTCGCAATGACATATTATATGCTCGGCTGATCTACTTCAGGATCTTTATCGTAGAGTCTTCAACAAAGACTTCCTTGATACAGTTTCAGCTTGTTCAGGTAGGACTTCATAGGAAAGTCATATGTTCTTGTTGTAATCCGCAGTATATTCCTGCTACGTATTAACATTTCCTTTAGTTTTAGATTTAGGTCCTGGGACAAAGGCTTTGCTATGCCTGAACTCCTGTCTGTTTCTCTAGTAGATATTCTGCTTTTCCCTGATCCAGAATTTTACTGCCTCTGGGCCAAGATAGAATTGAGATGATCCTTGCCTTGCTAGTTCAATGGCTTTTTCGTTGCCTTGGATGCCGCTGCCAGAGCTTTCAGTACACTCAGGCATTCCCAGGCGAGTCTCGACGATTTAGAATTTAGAATTTAGAATGAGTGGGAGGGGGGTTAATCACTTCGACCTTACAGATCCATTGTGTCCCCCTTTCTTGAATCATAACTCATCATACAGTCCCAGGGCTTTGACAAAAGCCAGTATCTGGGACGGTTTTATAGAGGGTAGTTTTCCATCTCCAATATCAGTCGTACCAAAATTCATGGCACGAATGGTTGTCGTCTCGGGCACTCAGTGATGAGGTGTACTGGTGTTACCCCATCTTCCCCACAGAATCTGCATTCGCCGTTTCTTCTTAGTTTCAATCTACTGAGGTGTTCATTGAGGAGACAGTGCCCTGTTAAAAACCCCGTGACAATCCGAAGATTGTTCTTACTCAGACCCAGGAAGGTCTGTGATTTTTCTTGATCATAAGCCCTCAGAAACTTCTTCGAGTGTCTTAGACCATTGCAAGATTTCCATTCCAGGTTGCGGATGGAATCTTCCAAGTTCTTTAGTTCCGCCTTGAGTTGGTTACCACTTGGAAAGCAGAACGGTTCTGGTCCACTTAGTGGAGTGTTCGCTCCTTTCCTAGCTAGATTATTTGCTTTTTCATTGCCTTCTATCCCTTGGTGAGCAGGCACCCAGTGTAGGAGGACTTTGTTTTCTTTGCCTAATTTATTCAGCTTCTCTATGCATTCTTTGACCAATTTCAAATCGATTGATACTGAGTTGATCGCCTTTAACGCTGCTTGACTATCAGATAAGATGGCTATTTCTTGTTTCCGATAGTTCCTATCTAAGATAAGTTGTACGCATCTCTCGATAGCGTAGATTTCTGCCTGTAGGATACTAGGGTAAGTGCCCATTGGTTCGGAGTAATTAGCTCTCGGCGCAAACACTCCGATCCCTGTTCCCGTATTGGTTTTGGAAGCATCAGTATACCAAGTTATGGTATGGTCTTTTAACTGCTGGGCAAGCGTTTCGCTCTTCCAATCCTTCTTATTGCTCAATACTACATTGACATGTTTGTCAAAGTTGTACGTTCTTGGCATATCGTCCACTGGGAGTTGCATGAGTTGTATTTCCTTTTTGAGGGTGTTCCAAGCCCCTGATCTGACAATTCTCCCAGTACTAATTCCGTTAGTGACCATTCTAATCATTGTCGCATTGGCATATCTACCAATGACAATGTGCAGTGGTGTTAGATCTAGAATGACCTCCATTGCTGCTATTGGACAGGTTCTCATGGCTCCTGTGATGCACACACATGCTAGTCTCTGGACTTTGCATAGGTTTAGCCTTGCCGTCCGTTGCTCTAGTTTTGTGTACCAGGCAACTGCTCCATAAGTAATCATGGGTCTTACTATCATGGTATACATCAAGCGCAAAATGTTAGGGGAGCAGCCCCATCTATTTCCGGCCAGTCTTCTGCATATCATGAGAACCTTTATGGCTTTGCTGGTAGTGTTCTTAATATGCCTGTTCCACAGGAGTTTACTGTCCAGGGTTATTCCCAGGTATTTAACTTCCTGGGTTTGATTTCCTGGGTTTTATTCCCAGGTATTTAACTTCCTGGCCTTCTGGTGAATGGCACTATCGCGGTTTTGTCTGAGTTGATACGATACCTTTAGTCTCGACGATACCTTTGAAGCATTGATTGATGAGCTTGTAGAATACCGAAGATTTATGTCTGTAATGCGGTTGAGTATTTACCCACAGAAAAGGATTGTCTTTGGTCTTTTCCCCAATTACTTTAGCTCCTGTTCTGTCGGCGGTCTTTGACCAAGACTTTCACCCCCTAAGCAAACCCACTGTCTGTGATTATATCTCATTCTTATACGCTGTGATTTTTTTTATTTGGATATATTTATTATAATTTTATTTCGTGATTTCCATACGGATAGGAGTATATGAGCTAAATCTCCATTAAAAATGTTATCCAAAACAGACGATATCAAGCGCAGGGTGTAAGAAAGGACTTAACGATATAAAACGTCCCAGATTTTTAATGCATCCAGAGATATTTAGAGGAGTAGCTCTGTCTTTTTCCTACCCTCAAAATATCAGCCCCGGCTCGTCTCTGATATAGATGCAAAAAAGTTTTATTATAGCCGGGGTTATTGTTGGAAGTTGGCAGGAGTAAGAGATTTATTATACGGAGTGTCCGCTAAACTTTGTCGGGTTAATTGTTTAAATTGTTTCGGTTATTTCATA